CCCAGTCATCGGTTGAACGTAACTAGTGAATCCATATGTTTATGAATCCGGATCGAGCGGACACAACGAACCCAACTGGCGCAGACTCCACCGACTATCCATCCAGACCCAGCGCAGGACCGGCCCATTTACGAACCCGGAGGAAAGCCGGATATCACGAGACGAACACGAGACGAGAATAACGACGAGAAAGACAGACGACAGTGCGGAGACGAGGACACGAGACGAGGAAAGGATAACGAGACGATAACGAGACGACACCACTACGCGAGAAAGGATAGACGAGGAAAGGATAGAGCGGAAAGGAGCCGAGGAAATGGAGGAGCGGACCCAGAAACGGAAGGACTGACCGGAACGGAGCGACCAGAACGACCACGAACGGACACGGACCAGGAAAATATCTTATGGAGATGTAGACGGATAACGGAATCGGAACACGGACCATAACATACGGACATAACGGATCCGGACCAACCACGGATCTTTGAGCTGATGAAGAATCAACGACAACGGCCGGATCCCAGGAGGACACCCCGACATAACCACAGCGGACACGAGCAACAACCGGACACAAGCACACGGACACACGGAACAAGGAACGTGGAGACGGAAACGACCGGAGGCACCGGAAAGACCCGGAGGGAACACAAAGGAAGGAAGGTACGGACTTGCAGGAAGGAAAAGGAAGGAAGGATCCGGGAGGCCACAAAATAAGGAAAGAGGCACGAGCTGGAGAAACGGAGAGTGGAAGGAAGGAAGAAGAGCAGTGGAAGAGCCCAGTGGACAGAGCCAGAGGCATGGAGGACACAGGAAGGATAAGGAGGTGGCACAGGTGAAAAATGGAGTGGAGGCACGGGTGGATAAACCCATGGAGACGGGAGGAGGGTACGGGTGGTGGAGGTGGTGGTACACATGGAGGTGGAGGAACGCAGGGGAGGCAGTGGCATGGAGTGGAGGCATGGAGGAACGTGGAGAGGACGGAGGTGGGTAATGGAAGGTGGAGGGTACGTGGAGCGAACCCAGGAGACACCGAGGTGGCACAGGCACACAGGAGGAAGGACAGGCACGAACGGAGGCACAGGCAGGCAAGGAGTGGCACAGGAACGTGAGGAGGCACAGGCACACACATGGCACAGTGGCATGTAGAGCCAAGGTGGAATGGAGGCACAGGCAGGAGGCACGGAACGGACATGGAGAGGCACACGGAGGAGGCACTGAGCGAGACACACCGAGACACAGGCACACAAGGAAAGTGGAGGAAAATGAACGCACAGGCACAATGGAGGCATGGAACGCACACACAGGAACGTGGACAAGACCGGAGGAAAATGGAAGGCATGGAGGTGGCAGTGGAAGGAACGTGGACAGAATGGCTGGAATGGAGTGGAGGTGGAGTGAACGGAATGGAAGAAGGAGAGAGGTAATGGAAAGGAATGGGAGGTGAAGAGGGGAGGAATGGTATGAATGGCAGGTATATGGAGGGGTGGAGGAATGGTGGAATGGGGAGGTGGAATAGGTGGTGAAGAAGGAGTGGAGAAGGAATGGGAGGTGGTAGGTGGAAAATATGGAGGAGGTGGACATGGAAGGAATGGATGGAATGGAGGAAGGCCAGGTAGGTGGCATGGAGGGAGGGAGGTGGAACGGAGAGGTGGTGGAAGAAGAAGGAGGAATGGAAGGAATGGATATGGAATGGAAGAAGGAAGAAGGAGGGGAGGGTGGTAATGGAAGGAATGGAGGGACAGTAGGGTGGACAGGCAGGAAGGGTGGAGGTGGTGGATGGGAGGAATGGAGGGGAGGGAGACTGGGAGGGAGATGGAGATGGAGACAGGATGGATAGGAGGAGGAGGGAGACTGTAGGATGAACTAGGGGATGATGGGTAATGGCTGATGAGGGAGGAGGGAGGATGGAGACAGGATGAACTAGGGAGATGATCGAGGTGGAGGGAGGGTGGAGAGGCACAGGCATGGAGTGGAGGTGGCATGGGGTAGGAAAGGAATGGGAGGCATGGAGAAAATAAAAAAGGTGGTATGGAGGAAAGGAATGTGTGGAGGAACGCACAGAATGAGACAGGAAAAAAAGGAACAGGCATGGAAAAGGAAAGAGACGTGGCACAGGAGGTGGAATGGAGGTGTGCATGGTACACATGAACACACACACGATCCCAACCAGATCCCAATCCCACACATAGACGTAGAATGATTCCAACTGATCCCACACACATGTGGATGACAACACACCGGATGAGGACCCAGAACACAGAAGGATAAGGAAGAATGGAATCCCACATTCCACACACACTTGATCACACACAACAGCAGGAGACACACACACACACCAGGAATACAAGGAATCACAGAGACCCACACAGGAACAGACAGCTGGACAGGACACACACACATGTGGATAATGAGAACATGCCCATGGCCAGACCACAGAGACACAGAAACACACAGACACGGAGGACACACAGGACAGAGAAGATGGACCCGACACGGAGGAACACACAGTAGAACACAGCAGGACACACAGACCTGACCAGGACACTGAGGAACAGAAGGAAAGGACACAAAGGAGGACATAACCAAGACTGATACACACGGAAAATAAATGAAATGATCTTGACAAGTGGAGGACCCGAGACCAGAGACACACATGGAACACAGACACACCAAGAGACTGAACAGAAGACACAGTGAAAATATAAAACATAATAAGAAATAGAGACACACACAGAAAAGACGAAATGAAAAGAAATATAATATGGAAAACGAGACACACACACAGAAAGCAGTGTATGGACAGTGGTTAATGTATAGAGACATGGTATATAATACACTGTTTCAGTCATACTAAGGTACATGTACATGTCTACATGTGGTACGCTGTGAGTACAAGCTAGAACCTTATACTGGCACACACCCAGTCTCCCTTTAACGCTACACTGTTTCAGTCATACTAAGGTACATGTACATGTCTACATGTGGTACACTGTGAGTACATGCTAAAACCTTATACTGGCACACACCCAGTCTCCTTTAACACTACACTGTTTCAGTCATACTAAGGTACGTGTACATGTCTACATGTACACTGTAAGTACAGGCTAGAACCTTATACTGGCACACACCCAGTCTCCCTTTAACACTACACTGTTTCAGTCATACTAAGGTACATGGACATGTCTACATGTGTCATACACTGTGAGTACAGGCTAGACCTTATACTGGCACACACCCAGGTCTCCCCTTTAACACTACACTGTTTCAGTCATACTTAAGGTACATGTACATATCTACATGTGGTACACAGTGAGTACAGGCTAGACCTTATACTGGCACACACCCAGTCTCCCTTTAACACTACACTGTTTCAGTCATACTAAGGTACATGTTCATGTCTACATGTGGTACACTGGGAAGTACAAGCTAGAACCTTATGCTGGCACACACCCAGTCTCCCCTTTAACACTACACTGTTTCAGTCATACTAAAGGTACATGTACATGTCTACATGTGGTACACTGTGAGTACAGGCTAGAATCTTATACTGGCACACACCCAGTCTCCCTTTAACACTACACTGTTTCAGTCATACTAAGGTACATGTACATATCTACATGTGGTACACTGTGAGTACAGGCTAGACCTTATACTGGCACACACCCAGTCTCCCTTTAACACTACAATGTTTCAGTCATACTAAGGTACATGTTCATGTCTACATGTGTTACACTGTGAGTACAGGCTAGACCTTATACTGGCACACACCCAGTCTCCTTTTAACACTACACTGTTTCAGTCATACTAAGGTACATGGACATGTCTACATGTGGTACACTGTCAGTACAGGCTAGAACCTTATGCTGGCACACACCCAGTCTCCCTTTAACACTACACTGTTTCACTCATACTGAGGTACATGGACATGTCTACATGTGGTACAGAGGAATATAGAACACTGTGAGTACCTCTGCCAGCCTGGGAGACATCAGTCACGAACTCGGCCTCCTCTCGGACTTTAACCTCCTTCTATCTGAGAGGATCATCTTGGTGGACGTTCAGGTGAATGTTAAAATGAATCACACGTGTTGATATGAAAGTATTTTGTGTTAATCGTTATAACCCATGCTTTTCTTGGTGGTCCATGCTTCATTTAATAGTTTCAGCTCTGAAATTTAAAACAAAATTTCAAAATGTATGGATGCCTATGTGGCTGCAAGCTTTCAAGCTTTAAGATACAACATGTTGAGGTGTCCTAGAAAATTCACTTATAGATTTGATGACATCAACTGAAACATTACCTTTACAGCAAACTCAAGGTACATTACCAACACAAATTATAGATCTCATTTTGAAATATAGTTGTAGGAAAACAGTTAAAGATTTATGCCACGTTTTAGAAATATTCCATTCACACAGTCATCCAACATCGTGGTTAAAAATCTTCAGAGTAACAAGCCAAGACTTCAAGTATAACATCATACAGACACCAGAAACACATTCCCACCAGATGGTAAAATAGAGCTTCACCTCACTGCTCCATCAGATGCTAACATACAGCTACACCGTACGACAACTAAAATCACATTCCCATCAGATGGTAAAATAGAGCTACATCTCACTGTCCCATCAGATGCTAACATACAGCTACACCGTACGACAACTAAAATCACATTCCCATCAGATGGTAAAATAGAGCTAACACGTCACAATTTAATTCTGGACTCACAAAAGTCCAGAAACTCTCCACACAGTGGGCACTTTCTGACAAGGGAGTTGACCAAATTAAACATGCAGTTGTTATAAATATATGCCAAGGATGAAAAAATTAAAAATCTTTTTTCGAAAACATTAATTTAAACTCGTTCGCCCATGGGCGAAATTAAAAAATCGCGCCAATGGGCGAAACATATGTTGGCCCATGGGCGACAATGTTTAATTTCGCTCAAAATTCATCTTTGGATGTTGTAAATGAATGAGTGTATGTTGATAAGCATCATGACACAAATTTCAACTAATTTTGACTTAATTCGACTAATTTAGGGCGATATTAAAAAATCTCGCCCATGGGCGAAAACTATGTTGGTCCATGGGCGAGAATATTTACTCTTACTCAAAATCCATGTTTTCGAAGTTTTGGATGTTGTAATTGAATGAGTGTATGTTTATAAGCATCATGACACAAATTTCAAATTCATTTTGACTTAATTCGACTAACTTAGAGCGATATTAAAAAATCTCGCCTTTGGGCGAAAAATATGTTGGCCCATGGGCGTGAATATTTACTTTTACTCAAAATCCATGTTTTTCCATGTTTTGGATGTTGTAAAATGAATGAGTGTATGTTTATAAGCATCATGACACAAATTTCAACTCATATTGACATAATTCGACTAACTTAGAACGATATTTAAAATCTCGCCCATGGGCGAAAAATATGTTGGCCCATGGGCGAGAATATTTACTTTTACTCAAAATACTTGTTTTCCCATGTTTTTGATGTTGTAAATGAATGAGCGTATGTTTATAAACATCATGACACAAATTTCAATTCATTTTGACTTAATTCGACTAATTTAGAGCGATATTAAAAAAATCTGCATTATTTACGGTAACATGGATTAGCTAATAGCGCATTGCCGGGAGACCCACATTCACACGATCACTCAACCATACCCATTGCCGGATAGGTATGTAGTCACTCCAAATTCACCATATGTGCGTGACTGTCCTCTCCGACGTCCGCGCCCACCTCTCACCCTAGCAATCTCGATCCACTTTCTGCTCACTATCAAGCCATCTATAACTTCACCTCTCTCTAACCACCTGTCTTCTCAGAGGTCCGCGCGCCTCTCTATTCCTTCATTATTTCACACCAACTCTACCTCCCAACAACTACTGTCTCCTCCGAGGTCCGCGCGCCTCCAGCCACCAACGACCCCCGCCACCTCTCAAGCATCAACCCTAACAACTCCACGGTCATTTCTCATC